TGTGACAGCTGACAGTTCTCCGGAACCCCTATCCCAGTAACTTCTTGGTCCCCACAGGCACTGTACACACATGATCCCCAGACATACACACGTGATTGAATAAAATAAAAATTTTAAAGATGATGAAAGTCACAGGAGTCATTGACAAACTTTGTGTAACTACCAAGTAGCGTGCCCAGAGGTCAAACTCAAGCATGCTAGACTGCATTTATTCTCACATTTTGTTGTGTTGTGATATTCCATATCATCTGCCCTCACCTCCTGAGAAGGCCCTGTGAACTTGTGCCTTTTGTCAGAGACTTAAACATCTGACTCTGGGGCCAATGAAAGATTACAAGATGTAGGCTCATAACAAATTTCAAGAGGTAGTAGATATTTTTTCAGCCTTTCGGCCTTTCCTGAAATACCCAGAGTGTCATGTCTCAGAAAGCACCACTTGCATAGACTGATGGAAGAGCAGCTGACCTCAACATTGACATGAACTGGGAGTAAGACAGAGTTGTTGCTGAGAACAGCATGCATCATATGGTAGAGTAGCCTAGCAAAAGCTGATATAGTTCCAATAACAAAGCATCCTAGAATGAGTGCCATTGGCTTTAAGTCTGAGAAAATAGTTGCTTGGAATTAAACAAATCACTTCTCATGTCTTACAGTAGTTTACCTTGTTCTCTTGCTTTGTTTTGATGAAAAGATTTGGAGAACAGAATATGACTTGGTTTTGCTACTGGATATAAAAATGTCACAGAAGTTATAAATAAAAATGTGTAAATATAAATAAAATATATTAATGTATAATATATGTCAAATATAGTATATATAATATATACAAAATAATATATATGTGTAGGCATAATGAAAATAATTATTAAAAGAAAAACTTGTAAAAAATAAAAGAAAAAGGAAAAATTAGGAATTGTACAACATACAAGACTAGAAATTGTAAAAACTGTTTGATTCCAATCAGTGAAAGATGGTCTTGAAAAGGTATTTTGAATACCAAAGATAGAATAAAACACAAATGAAGACTCATCCTCAAAGACCAAATAGGACATTTTAGAAATGGAAAATAACTAATGCTAAGGATGTTTTAAAATGCTGAATGGAAGTCTAGTATTTTACAAGCTTCCATGTATATATGGAAGCTTATAAAATAGAACATTGTGTACCTGCATGTACATATAGATATATTTATATGGAGTTTAATGGTTTAATTGGAGTTACTCAGGGAATAATTCTCCTCCCAGAAGCTATAAGTTGCCAAATAAAAAGCCTCTTGCCAAATGTTGAATTATTGGTCAAGGAAGTCCCATCCAATACTCAAAGCAATGTGGGCTATTGCTATTGTTCATTTCCTACAGAATTTGATGGTAAGACACTGTTGCTGACAACACATGGAGAAATATAGTGCTGACAGGGAAGCTTCCTTCCTCTTAACTAATTTTCACAGTATCAGAAGGTGTTATGCAGGTACTAGGGTTGAAAAGTCATCAGCAGCCTTATTCAGCTATGACCCTTTGAGCTACAATAAAGACAGGTATTGTAAGATACACTCATGGATGAAATAGTGGCATAAATGTTATGTAGATAATCAACCACTTTCTGGTTAGAATAGGGGGACATTTTTAGCAAAATAATAATAATTGATTCATCCCTGGAGTTTGTGAGTTCCCCTGCCCTGAATTTTTGGTGAGGTATTTCTATAAGAGGAAACATGGGATATGGCCTTAAATCAAATATTCCTGTTTCTGTGACCACAAATTGGTGTAGGTCTTCCACCTCTTCAGAGAAGTTTCTTTGTTGCTGTGGGTGGCAGTTAATTCAGAAAGTTGCAACTAACTAAAGTGCCTAATGAGTGTGTGTGTGGAGTACTCAGTCACGAATGGTACATCTATCACACCCTCCACCCTCACAATTCAGAGACCCATGCAGGAGGAGCTGGAATGAAGAGATTTGTAAGAGCCAGAGGTTATGAAAAACAGGGGCCAAATAGCAACTTCTGAAAATGACAAGACCACTATACCCATGAACTAACAGTAGCTATGGTTGCCTATATAATACATGTCCAAGATCAAGCCGATCTATTGGGGGCCTATGGAGAGCCTGCCCCAAGGCCACCTCCATGGTAATGCAAGAAAATCCATGAAGGTGGTGAGGGCTAGACTTTTTTTTTGTCTGAGGGTATTTAGAAATAAGTTTCTATCTATCTGACTGGTAAAATAAGAAAACATACATGCTTTCTGATGCTAACTTTCTCTTTTACTTCATTTTAAGAAGTGGTCTCTGACTCTTTTTGCCTCTATACAGTTATAAATTTCCATATAGCCATAGTTAAGCATCTTATTTATATAGCTGTCATATCATTTTACACAGTTCCTAGGCATGGCTCCTCTATGGAGCAGCAGTTCTTTCATATAGCTCTCTCTCATATTTATTTATATATATATTTATATTATTTATTTATATTTTATTCATTTATTCTTTCATCCATTTATTTCCTCATAATTTTCTCATGTTTTTTATGTTTTCCTTTGTCTCTCATCCAGATGTGTATACATATTTCATTCATATTTTGCAGCAGTTCTCATATAGCTCTCTATAGCCCTCTCTCTCCTTATTGTCACTGCTGATCCCCGTCAGTCAAAATCTGGACAATTATAAGTTATAGTTTTAGGGCCCTACCCATTCTCAAAACATAAGATAAGTCATGTAGTTTCTCTTAGGCTAGTAATGTTACATTGGCCCATGCACGTAGATCTAAGTTGGCTAGGGGTCCCAGACATTAAACAACTGGCTGGACCTTGAGCGGTCAGGATATGTGCAGAAAGGGAGCTATTACAAGGACTATGTCTTGATGAAAACAGCCTGGCTTTGAATTAGCAATAAACAACATCTGGGAATTAGTCTTTATATATACTCTGTAGGGACAGCTTAGTCTGTTTTGGACTAGTTCTAAGGCCTTTGCAAAATGTGTCCTCTGATCCCCAGGTAAGCTTTATTGGGGTACACAATATGTCACCACAGAGAATATTGAATCCTGTGTCAGTAAAGAAGAATATTCTGGTAATATTTCTGTTCATCAGAATTATACAGCTTAAACAGAAATCCACAGCTAAATGTGTGCTCAGAGATGTAAAACATGTTACCAAAAGGCTGTGGGAAGCACCTCACAGCTGTTCTTATTAGGGAGGCAAGGCAGTGGCACCTGAGAAAGTTATAGGCAGAAAACAACCAGTTATCACAGCCAGTGACCCCACGACTTTGCCAGTGAGGCTCCCACTAAGGAGTTTATTTGTCTGATGGGTGGACTTGTCAGACATTAGCTGTCATCTGCTGTATATTCCCATGGCCCTTGGAACCAATCAATACTCCATTATGCAGGTAGGAGAGGCTCAGGATCTCCTACTCCTACTTGAGAGGCTAGAAAGTTGATGGATGATGGGTAGTATTGGAGGTTGGGAGAAATAAGTTTTCTTTAAGCCTGTGGCTCCTTAGGTAGGTCAGCCATACTTCATTGGATGTCTTCAAGTTCATGAATAAATGAGAAGCACAAATTTGACTCAGTGGACTATAAAAATAAAAAGAGGATATGACCTTGCAAGGGAAGGAGTGTTGATCTGGGAGGAATTAAGGAGAGGAGTGGTGAGTAAACATGATTAAAATACATTGCATAAATATATGATATTCACAAATAATAGAAATGCTACTTATAAACAAAACAAATGGAATTATTCTTAATGAATTAAGATGATCTCAGTAAGTTCTTTCTCAATAAAATATGTTAGAGAAAAGAGACCAACAACCTGTTAGTTCTCAAGCTTAATAAACTCAGTATACTGGCCATAGTTATAGAGAAGGGAAGAATATATCTTTATCACGTCATATAACTTACTAAACATAAGAAGTTGAGTTATATCCACTTTGCCTATTTACAATTCTCCACATGCCTGTTGATTTCTTTCAAGTCATCAAGATTCAACTTAAATGTTACCAGCCTAGGCTTAGAGATCTTCCACTTCACCAAGCTCTGGTATCTTGTGCTTGTATTAAAAGGGCTGTTTCCACTATGTACCTGACTATATCCCCTCTAAAGACTGAATTTACTGGTGGTTTAGTTTAAGGCTGGTATGTAAAAGATATTAACACATGACAAATGAATCACTAAGAGAATGAATGAAATCCCATGAGTGGTTTGAATTTCTAGTAAATCACAGTAACCCTAATTCAGAATTAAAACGTCTTCAAAAAAACAACAACAACAACAACTTAATTATACTGGATACAGAAGGGGACAGTAGGATGGGTGACGAGGGAGCAGAGGAAAGAACCCTAAGTCATCTTATTCTTTAAATCTACTGTAAATGAGATCATTGAAGTTGGAGATATAACCCATACGTTAAATGTGTTACAAAAATTTCATTTAAAGTACAACCATTTATATTTACACTTTTCAGGAACTGGAATTAATTTTTGTTACTTATAATGAGAAGTTAAATTAATAATTTTACTCCCAGGGGCTGGAGAGATGGCTCAACAGTTAAAAACACTGTCTGCTCTCCTGGAGGACTCAAATTTGATTCCCAGAATCCACATGGTGGCTCTTAATCATCTGTAATTCATTCCAGGGCATTCAGTGCCCTCTTCTGGTCTCTGAGAGCACTGTGTGCATGTAGTGTGCTAATATACATGCAGGCAAAACACTGCATAAATAAAATAACAATAAATAAATCCTTTCAAAAAATTTAAAATCGTTCTTCCCAGATTAAAAAAAAAATAATCCAGTTAATTATTAAGGTTGGAATTTTATCAGAAGTATAGCCTTCTTAAGGCAGAATTTAAGACATTTGCTAAATATCAGTAAAACAGTATTTTCACATCCAGAGTCTCATTACTTTAGAACAAACAATCCTGTGTTGTATATGTTACATGAGTTCAACAAATTTTAAATTTGTTTTTATGTACATTCTAAAGAAGACACAGACAAATTATTTGATATTACATACCTGTCGGCACCAGAGTTTACGGAATATTTGCAGATAAGCCAATACCATAAGACAGAGAGGTGCCATGTACGTCACCAGAAAGAAACAGATGTGGTACATCTTTGGGTAGACGTCACCTGAGGTGAGAGTCAAAGAGTAAAATCTGACATTAGAACGATGGACTCAGAAGAGGGGTCACTTCAGCCTTTCCTTTTAAACAATAAATACACTTTCTGGAGAGCTTCATCTGTTTATTGTATACACACAAGGGAAAATAATTTCCAATATTTCATTTAATATACTCAGAGAAATAACAATTAGTCATTTCTAAATTGGGTGTGATCACAATCTAACCATGATCAAGAAATTTATGTAATCAAATGGCTCTTTATTTGGCATGCCTGCATTTGGCTAATTGAAATAAACTATTTGGATTGTCTTATATGTTCATTTACTAAAAGAGGCCTGGTAAAAAAATATTATTTTAGTTTTTTTTTTAAATAAAAAAATAATGACTAAACCCTTGTTGAAATAGGAGTTAAATGTAAATACAGTTCTCATTAGAATATAAGTGACAATATTTGAAAGGGTTAGAAGGATCAGGAGGCATGGCTTTGCCTGAGGAAATGTGTCACTGTGGGTTGGCTTTGAAGTTTAAAAAGCCCATGCCAGGCCCAGGCTCTCTCTGTACCTATGAAGCAGAATTTAGCTCTCAGCTACCTCTCCATACTAAGTATGCTTGCATGTGGCCATACTCCTCACTATGAGGATAATGGACTAAACCTCTAAAACTGTAGGCTTGTGAAATGTTTTCTTTCATAAAAGTTACCTTGGTCATGGTGTCTCTTTACAGCAATAGAATAGTGACTAAGCCAGCTGTGGAATTATCACCTCTGCATTTAATTAAGAAGTGATATAAAGAATGAAGCCTTGAATATTTGATTAAATTCATCATAAGAGCAATTTGTATTTAGGATGCATCATAATAAGTGCATTAATGACCATAATAATGGTCATTTACTTAGCAATCTTGCACTTAGTTATATTACTGGTTATATTTTAAACATATCCATAATTTTAATGGCCTCTGCCATCTTAAATTCATAACTTCTTATCTGGGATTGATTGAGTTTGAGTCTAATATTTTTTGTACTCTTCGCTCTGAAATTATCTTGTTTCTCATTTTTTGTATTGTATTCTATAGAAAGAACAGCATGGTACATAGGCTGCTGGGAGGTGTAAGAAACCAATTTGAGGTGTCATTTTTAGACCCTTCCTGGGTCAGGAGACACTTATCTGCCCCATTCATTTCTAACTTCCTTTCAAGTTTATCTTGTAAAACAGGCCATTGAATAAAGAGTGATAGAATTCAAATACTGGAGTAATAACAGATATCATTTCCATTTGAAGTACAGCAGCTTAACAGCATTTGCTGGGTCAATTTCAAAGCAACAATTCTTTGGGACCTCAGTGGCTTTGAACTATTATTTGTTTTAAAGAAAATACATGCCACATGTACTTCACACACACACACACACACACACACACACACACACACACACACACACACACGCACACCTTTGAAGCTTATGCATACTGAATCTCTAATAGCTGCATTAGACTAAATTGAACAGGTGGAGGAAAGGAGATTTAATTGGTACATTTTTCCCACTATAGTAGCAGATACCATTACTGCCATAGCAATTTGGTGTTTTGAACAGATGGAAAGAAGGTGAGTTCTGGTGATTTTGAATAAGTGGAAAATTTAATAACTAGCTAGTAAGTATATATTATGATGATTACTTATGCAGAAAAGCTGATCAAGCAAAATTCTACTACAGGCTAGCAATAGTGTATCACTGGAGAGGTTATAATAGTAACAGTCTTAAAAATCTGCTTTCATTCTTAAATTTAGAACTAATTGAAAACTCGATCTACTGAAAATTTAAGTTGCATGTATTGAAAAATATCATTGAGTCCTTCACTTGATAATCATCATTTTCTTCAATATATATTTGTGAAACATAATCTAGAATATAGTTATATAAACTTTGTTTTGCTTAAACACTGCCTGAATTAGTAATCAGCATTTTGAAGGCTGATGACTATACATCTATGTCTCAGACTGAAGATGTAGCTCAGTCAGTAGAATATTTGCCTATCATGATTTGAGTTTGATCTCTAGCATTGAACAAAACCATGTGTGGCGGTGCCCACCTATAATCTCAGAGTTAGGGGGTAGAGGCAGGAGGATCAGAAGTTCAAGATCATCTTTAGTTGTCTGGCAAGTTTAGTGCCAGAATGGGATAATATGAGAGCTTGTCTCAACAGCAGCAGCAGTAGCAGCAAAAACAACAACAACAACAACAACAACAACAACAACAACAAAAATCAGTGTCTTTATTCAACTGATGGAAGGCAGTATCTAAATAAATTCTTCTCTGTACAAATCTATAGGTCCATATGTCACCTGTCTGTCTATCTATCTATCTATCTATCTATCTATCTATCTATCTATCTATCTATCTATCTTTCTATCATCTATCTACCTACCTATTGCTATCACAAATCAATGAATCAGACACAAATATGGATATTTAGAGTGTCTTTAAAATCAGAGAATAAAGAATACTACTCTTCAGAAGAGTTACGGTGCATTATTTACCTAATTATTCAAAATTTACAACATTCTCCCTATGCTATACTTGTCAGGGACAAGTATGTTAAATATAATTTGCCAATATTCAATTTGACAATTTTTAACCCTTATGGGTTTTTTAAATTTACCTGAATATTTATTGCTTTATTATTATCCCTTTAATGAATGTATTGTAACTGTTTCTTGATACACACATATTTATATTTAAGTACTTTCTAACTCTCATAATGAGACAAAAATCATAATTACTCTGACTAAAAGGAAGGCTCACTCTATTGTTTTTTGTTTGTTTGTTTGTTTGTTTTTTGTCAGACCACCAAAGTACAATTTGTTAGCTCCAGGAGGAGAGGTATTTTCAATCTACAGTCATTGCTGGTTGCGGTGGTTCACCTTTGTGATCCTAGTTTTCAGGAGGCCTGGGCAGTAGCAATTTATGTGTTGAATCATGGGTCTGAGGACAGTCTGGGCTTTAGAGTGAGTTCTAGAAAAGCCTGGGCTTTTGAACTATGATCCAATGGCTGAGGGGTCACCAGCTGGATCAGGCCCTCTGAATGCGTGAGACAGCTGATTGGCTTGATCTGTTTGGGAGGCATCCAGGCAGTGGGACCGGGTCCTGTGCTCATTGCATGAGTTGGCTGTTTGAAACCTGGGGCCTATGCAGGATCGCTTGGCTCGACCTGGGAGGAGGGGACTGGACCTACCTGGACTGAGTCTACCAGGTTGATCTCAGTCCTCGGGGGAGGCTTTGCCCTGGAGGAGATGGGACTGGGGGGTAGACTGGGGGGAAGGTGAGGGGGGCCGGAAAATAAAAAAAATTAAAAAAAAACCTTTATCTTGAGGAACTAAGTTTTCATTTACTAACCAAGAAAGTATGAAAATAATCCTGGACATTATACAATTTTATAAATATGGAGGGGTGGGACTGAAGCGAATAATAAACATGGTGAATGGTGATGTTCAAGAGCAATGACATTGATAGTACAGACCTGCATTGCATGTTAAAATTAACGTCTCAGACACATACCTTGGTTTCTTCTTCGTTGGAGTTTTCTGTCTTTTTGTTTTCAGCAACCATGCATATGACGATTATGATCATTTTAGAAATCATTGGTCCCTGCATGGCCATTCACCCTTGGCAGCACGGCCATTAAGGGGTTTCCAGTCATCTTGCACCATGTGTGAAGGGCACTTATTTGAGTGACTTCTCAAAGTGATTTGATAGCCAGAGGCCAATGGGAGTTCTTCCTATATGGTACCATTTGATAATTAAAGCACAACTGTTTTTTTTTTTTTTTGGTAACTGTTTTTATTGAATTTAGGGGACAGATTAAAAAATAAGAATCCAAGATCATAAATTAATCTCGAATAGAAGATACTGTATTCTATAGTCAATATGTAAATTGGGATATTAGGGATAGCCACCATATAGAGAAGTAGCATTAAAAAGTGTTTCCCATGATGTGTGATGTTTTGAGTTATGGTGGTTGTCCTGTTTGTTTTTTTCCACAACTTAATGTAAGCTAGAGTGTTCTGGAAGAGGCAATCTCAATTGTGAAAATGTCTCTATCGTATTGGCCTGTAGGTTAGTCTGTGTAGGGTTTTCTTAATGATTGATGTGGGAAGGTCCAGCCCACTGTGGTCAATGTCATTCCTGGGTAGATGTCCCTGGGTTGTGTAAGAAAACAGGCTGGACAAGCCATGGGGAGCAAGCTATTCAGTAGTATTCATTCATGGCTTGTGCTTCAGTTCCTGATTTCAGGTTCCTGCCTTAAGTTCTCGCTCTGACCTCCCTTCATGGTCGACTATAAGCTATAAGACACAATAAGCTTTTCCTCCCAAGTTGGCTTTGTCAGTGTGTTTATCACAGCAACAGAGAGCAAACTAAGAGAGTTATAATGCCTCTGCAGACCTTTAATCTTCCAGTTTGGGCATGGAATTTTAAATAGTCTCCATGAACAGGGGGTATTCTATGTAAGAATCTTAATATTAATACATAAGATTTGTGAGGAGTTAAGTAATCAGAAATTATTTTAAATTCTTTTATATTTTCCTTACAAGCAGTAAACTATCAATAATTTATAGCTGAATAACTGAAGAACAAATGAATAGTTCTTATTGTTTGATTATTTTATAGATGATCATTTTAATTCAATATTAATTAATTTTTGCCCTTAGAAGCATTTTGAGTAACTGTGGACTGTTATTGAATCACTTTCAAGTAGTTTTATCAATGACTTTTGAATATCTGTATAAAAGCTAGATAAAAAAATAGTGGAAATAGATATAAATTTTATGTTTACATTTATTGATACAAGATGTTATAAAAACACAACATGGTACTTAATTACATTTATTGATAGGTTGATAGGATTCTGTAGTTTGGTAATCTTTTCATTAATGGAGTTAATGATGCTTGATTGTGTGTGTAGAGCAATCATTTATATTATACTCCATGAACATATAAATGAAACTCATTTCCAAAATACCTTAGAAATTTTTTTCTGTTATTTACTAAGTACTAAGTATTTTCTCTGATAACCCTTTCCATAACCTCAAAGGATTCCCACATTTCAGTAGGACTCTTGCGACTGACATGCACAGTCTGCTTTATAATCTTGAACAGACAGTGTAATCTCTGTAGGGCTCAATTTAGTCATGAATTAAGAAGGGTCAGGCTATGGGTAACGGGATGCTTTCCAGCTAAAATTTACTGTAAAGAAATCATGTAAGAAGGGTCAACTCTCCGCTAAAGTCATTTCTTCAGGTTGCCTATACCCCAGGAGCTATGCCTCCCTTAAGATGGGGGCCCAGTGAGTGGGTTACTGTACTTCCTGCAACACATCTTTTCCTTTCCTGGGATATCCCTTCCCTGCTCCTAGTTGGCAGAATTCAGATTCACCTTTAATACTTTGCCGAAATATTAGCATCTCCTTTGAAGACATTTGTCCAAATGGCCAGGACTGAAGCTGTTCTCTCCTTTACGTCCCTAGTACTCAGTACACAAGTCCATTAATCACACTGTGGTTTGTCTCTCAGCCTCACTGGAGAATGCGTTCTCTTAGGCACAATGCCTAGCACACTCTAGATGTTTTCTGCACATTAAATAAATGGGACATAGGATACTTAAGGAAAATATTTAGGAACTTTCCATTCAGTTTGTTTTTGGCTGTATTATTAAATTTATAAAAAATATAAAAGATAAACAAAAATCAAAAGCATTATAACATTAGAAAAGAAGAGTAAAACTCAGTGAGAAGAGATTTAATATCCTGAGTGTCAGGAAATTCAAATTGTAAAGTTTTACTTATTACAGTTCTGTTTTGATTTGCTTTGATTTGTTTTGATTTTTCCTAAGACTGAGCATCACTGTGCAGCCCAGTCTGGCTTAGGATTCAGGATCCATCTACCTGAGCCTTCCAGGTCACCTGGGTTGATTCATTTTTTCCAATCAGTGTGACTACATGTCTATTTAACAATCATTCTTTCCTGATGTGTAAATTCTGTAAGGATGAGCAATTTCAGTGTAATTAACTAGAAGAGGCCAGTTTGTTCCTTTCATGTAGCTAATGCATGTCATACTGAAACATACAGTCAGTTTTTATTATTCTTTTTTTTCTGTCCACATATGTGTCTTTGCCATGAATGGATAGCCATGTTCCCACGGTTAGGGGTTTTGAGGCAAAGAATCACAAGGCCTCCAAAATTCTGCTTGTTTATGTATCACTATCATGGGTGCTAGGTGTGTACAGATGTACACCATACAGAGTTGACCTCTAACTGATATAATTCCTCACTCAGTGATTGAGTGTCTCTGTGAGAAGGCAATGCTCTCAGAACACTGTTCTAAACTGAAGACAGACAAACAAATGAACGCAAACCTAGTTTCATCTGAGGCAGTTAAGAAACTGGGAACTTCAGATAACATAACGTTGAACCAGCTTAGAAATGTCTTTTTATTTTAAACAAGAAAACAAGAATTTATTGGTGTTCTCTTAACATTTTCAGCAAAGATTTTCTTAAGGTGTTTTCTATGCGTATCTAGTTTCGGGTGAACACCTCCCCACTTTTCCCTAGCCTCGTTTCTGGCCTATTCCCTTCCATTCCCAGGATGAACCATTCCACTTTTAAAGTGTATGTGTTCTCTCGCTCTTCTTGCCCCCTCTCTTAAAGTGTCTTTTTTTTCTTCCCCTCTCATGGGCCCCCTTCTAGTTTCCTGGTGTCTACCTTCCTTCATTTGCACATAAATTCACATTTTCAAAAACTAGATGCTGAGACACAGACATGAGAGAGCACATGTAACGTTTGTCTTTTGGACCTTGGTTCACTCTATGTAATATTTTTGTAGCTCCATCCATTTTTCCTGGATATTTTATTTTTCTTTATGATTGGATAAAATTCAATTGTGATACGTACCACATTTTCATAGGCATCTATGCTGATTCTCTTTTTTAAATATTATGAATAGAGAAGTATTAACCATAAATGCACGAGTATCTCTGAAATAAGATATAAAATCCTTGAGGATTCTGCTCAAGGTGTGGGATAACTGGCTCATATATAATCTCTGTATTTTGCTTTTTGAGAAACTTTTGTATTGATTTTCATAAACTGTTAATTTGTAATTTGATTTGTTTTATTGACTAGTTCATTTGTTTTAAATAATAAATAAGAAATAACTAAAAATGAGTCATTGAATAACTCCTCTATACATTTCCATTGTGAAAAATATGAAAATTAAAAATTGTACATAAAGCACTTACAAATGATGTGAATTATTTATGAAATTGTGTTGTGCTTCAACTTTGTTTTCGGCCTTTTGGTGATCTCTTTTAGCAAATACCAATAAAATATATAAGCCTAATTTAGCAATAGTGATGCTAATCCAATATTTGCAGATACCCTGCCTATTTGTGAGCACATGAGCAAAAACTACTTACCGCCCCAGTGCTCATCACATACTGTAAAGAGGGTGGTTTTATTGGCTAAGCCAGGGAGCATGCTGCTGCACTCCATGACAATGGCTTGAGGAATCATTATGATGCAGGAGACAATCCAGATGATGACGATACTATTTCGAGCCCGTTTGGCTGTGCTCTTGAACATCAAAGGGTGACAAATTGCATACCATCGGTCCAAGGCAATGCAGCTCAGTGTAAGAACAGACACAGACACTGACACAGTCTGGAGGGAAAGAAAGGAACACGGTTCAGGAGAATTGCTAGGTGTCAGAAAGAATGTGAGAGCATTTGCCTTATCAGCAAGGTAGTTACAGCAGAAAAAAAAGTGAATTCAGGGTAGCTCGCTCTATATATGAATTCATGTAAATGACTTTCATGTTAAGAAAATGGATAATGAAAATAGAAAACTAGAAATGCATCAGGAAACTTTGTATTTCCTTTCAGATGTGAGGTAGGTGCTTTGAAACCTTTCAATTTTCTCACATTAACAGCTTAGTTTATAATATGTGAATAATTACTATATCTACTTAGTTTTGTAGCTTTTCTACTGATAGTGCAAATAGTATTCTCAGAGGAAAAGAAATTATACATGGGTATATTCCCTTTCAATCAAAAATAATTACATGGCATGTGTATTTTAAATTATCATGTAAGTTTTCACTGGTTACATTTCATTAGCATAAATGCATCATGGGTATCTTCTTTCATATTTTTAAATAACAAAGGGTAATTTTTTTCCAATTTATTTTCAATATATTGCATACAAAGAAAAGTCTAGATTACAGTAAAAGAGGTTCTGTACACGAGTATGTGCACTATAGTTTGCTCACTTACAGGAATAGTAACTTGCTCCTAAACACATGTAGATCCTCTCGGTACAGACTTGTACGTAAATAACATCACAAGTGACTCTTCAGCTTGGAAATTTAAAGAAATTAACATTTCAACCCTGTTGATTCCCACATAATCAACATATGGAGCTATCTTTAATAGGGTTAGGGTACAGGGTTATGGAATTACAGTAAGTTGAGATGCAAAATGCCCAACTGAAGGCTTCCAAACAAGCACTATGCATTTGCTATTATTTATTATACTTATAATGATGACATTATCATGATACTATGATTTTCATCTTCCATTCTGGAGCCTAGAGTTCTAGAAAATCTAACTACATCTATAGCATTTCTAAACTCTTGGAGGGATAAGTTAATCTTATGATAGTTGATGACTATTGAGAGGTTTAGGTGCCTTCCCTCTTAAAAGAGCCAATTATACATGTCAGTATTAGGGAATAAAGTATATGAAGACTGCTCAATAAAGATCTAATAGGTATTATTGGTTATAGAATTACAAATTATTAAATATGTAAGAGAGTTATTTTAATTATTCGGCTGAATTTATTACATTTGTGTGATTCTTAAATAATTTAAGAATTTGCCAAAGTATTATAGTGTATCACTCACAAATCTAAGTTCTATTGCTTTAGAAGAAAAAAGAAAACATAAATCTTACTAAGTTAGTAAAAGTCAGATATAACCAAATACTCCTGTATAGCCTTGGCTACATTGAAAGTGTACTATAACCCACATACATAAATACTTAGGTCACATACCAGGGGTGAAAGCAATTAGTTTTAGGCTGTGGCAATAAGAGAAAAACTACTTGACTTGAAATGAAAGTGTTGATTCTTTTAAAAGCATTTGTTATTAATTAAAAAAAACAATTGTCAAACAGATACAGAAAGGCTGCACTCACTGTTTACCACTGAGACATCCAGTGATGATACTGGTAACTGATTCTTACTCTGAATGCATTGCTTTAAGTTCACGATGAGGTCATCACAGAGCCAACAGAATTATGTAAATGATCTAAATAATATGTCACAACAGCTATATGAGGTAGATCTTATTAAAATTACCATTTTCAGTAAGTGAATTGCCAAGAGTCTATGTATTTCACTTGATAGTGTACCATCTAGAGATGGCAGGACAGACATTCCAAACCTAGAGCTGATGTCTCAAGTTCCCCTTCTTTGATCACATGCCTCACAATTCCTTAGGATGAAAAGGAATCATTGGGAAAAAAAAAAACCCAGGATATTCTTGATTATTGAAAAACAAGCCGGGCGGTGGTGGCGCACGCCTTTAATCCCAGCACTCGGGAGGCAGAGCCAGGCGAATCTCTGTGAGTTCGAGGCCAGCCTGGGCTACCAAGTGAGCTCCAGGAAAAGGCGCAAAGCTACACAGAGAAACCCTGTCTCAAACAAAAAACAAAAAACAAACAAACAAAAAGTTAAAGATCACCTTTGGCGTTGGGGATTTAGCTCAGTGGTAGAGCGCTTGCCTAGCAAGCACAAGGCCCTGGGTTTGGTCCTCAGCTCTGACAAAATAAAATAAAATAAAATAAAAAAAATGAAAGAAAAACAAATGCTTGCAGTTACTTGAACTAGGAGAGGCTTAATCACTACTTTGTTCAAATGATTTATTTAGTGATGAAGACTGTGAAGTAATTAACAGCATTGTTGCCTCAATTTTATTTAGGCATTAACTTGCTTGTTCAGCAAATCTCAAGTGTTATCTTCTTTAATTTTTTTTTTTACTTTCTGAATATCTGTATTTATTTCTTAACTCATTAACTATTTTGCCAGACAGTCCTGACTATAATTGAAAACCTTAAAAAAAAAAAAAGATTCCTCAAAAAGAATTACCTGTAAATAAGGAATGACCTTACAGAGGGACTGTCCAAAGAACCAGGTCTCAGTGATGTCAACAACGAGAGTGGCTGGAAGGCAGGTGATGGTCACAAGCACGTCTGCCAGGGAAAGGTTGACTATGAAGTAGTTGGTGACTGTCCTCATGTGGTGGTTCTTCCACACTGCCACACAGACTGGTATAGAAAGAAATAGAGATGGGAAATAAACAAAGAGACTAGGTAGCAATGAGGAAAGTCAAAGGAATTAGCACTGTTACAAAGTCCATACACACGAGCTGAAAAGAGGAGAGTTTAAGGCTGCGCTGTACTCATTCAGTCCATTAATCTCTGGGAATTTGGAATCTAAGGTTAATGAGCTCATTGACCTGACACTATATTATTTCCTGTTCATAAGAGCTGTGCTGTTTTTGAGTTGTAAGTCAAGTCAAAGGGCAGCCCCTGATTGATCTTACTATTATTTCAATACTCAATATGTAGAAAAACATCAAGAGATGTTTTTGCTGGACTGGGTATAGTAGCACATGTCTTTAGTCTTATAGAGCCTCAGCTCCGGGAGGAGGTAGAGGCGGCAGAGCTCTGTGAGTTCAAGATTAGCCTGGTTTACATAGTGAGTTCCAGATCAGTCAGACACTGAATAAAACTCCATACAATGAAACCCTACCAAAATTAAAAAAAAAAGAAAGAAAATAGTTGCTGAGGCTGAATTGAATGAGGAGAATTAGAGTTAGTAATCTTCAAAGAGACGTGATTGCCTCATCCATGACCTTGACCCATGTCTTCCCACAAATCTGCTTTGTGGACAACCAACAGAGGAAAACTGTTAACTACAGGAGAGAAAAACAAACAAACAAATAAAACAACCTCCTATCATCCAGCCAGGACCCAACCCCTACTTATCCAGACACAGCCAAATAGTTGACATATTTATATTATTCTGTTTGGACAAATCTTAAGGAAGACATTAGCAGCCATGTTTCAATATGTGAGATAATTGAGACAAGGACATTTGTTGGACTTGTTTAAGAACTCATAAAGCATAAAAGCAGTTAATGACAGATACTAAATTCCAAGTGATATATGTGTTCTTTCTCCACCTAGGCTGTCTTTGTTTTTGAAAACGAAGAGGTTATAACAGAGTATATTTAAATTCTAAGCTACAGTCCTCTCTTTTTCATTACTCTTGATGGCTCTGAACATCACCCTGAAATCACACATTGTTGCCTCTTCCATGCACTGTGGAAAATTTCCTGTTTAAAGCTGTGCTAGCCCAAATGATGCTGTGACTGGTAACCTTAAGAAGTAGAACAGAAATACAAACACCTTTTGTTAAGTTTAAGTACCTGAAAAAGAACTTATTTTTGACAATCATCTACCATCAGGAGTTTCCTGTCTTGGAAAAAATACTTTCACTAGTTCCTAATGCTGAAATTGGCTACCAGCTCTCAATTGATGTAATTTAATAAAATATTTATATTTTGGAAAATTTAATTTTGAGTACTTCGAATGATCCTCTAGTTTCAGCAATATAACAGCTAAAACATCAGGTGGTCTTAACTAGGATACACTATAATGTTTTCACCTGTGATACTGCCAAATAAGTTATTTCACATAAATACTTGAAACACACACATATCCTAGCAATTAAAAAACATTATTATGGTTTGTAATAATAAAATGGGAAATCATTGAATATTTCTGGTACTTTTTAATGTATGCTAAACTGTACAACTTAGACCTAGAAAAGAACATAGTGCTTAAAAACACATTTAGTTATGCTGACCCTCCAGACCTGTATGAATGCTCTTCCTTGCTTGCTCCTAACTTCTTGTGGTCTGATAGTAATCATGGCTGAGTCTGGAAATCTTTACCTGTGTAACTCCAATCTCTGCCTTTGTGATCCCATGACAGTCTCCTTTGTCTAGATCTTTGTAGTCATCTTCTTACAAGAATCACATCTGTATGGAGTTACAGGTTCACCGTAATGCAGTATAAAACTTCATCTTCACAAATTAGATCTTCAATGACCCTATTTCCAAAGAGGATCACCTTTGCAGGCTGGAAAGACGTCTCAGTAGTTCAAAGCACTAGCTCTTAGGTTGGTTCCCAGCACCCACATGGCAGGGGCTAACAACTGTAACTCCAGTTTCAGGGAATCTATGCTCCCTTCTGCCTCCTCAGGCACCATACATGCAAGTGATACACAGAAACACATTCAGGAAAAACACTCATACATGTCAAATAAAAATTTAAAAGTATGTGTATACAGAGAAAGTCACTGTCTGGGACAATAGAGACCAGGATTTCACTGTATCTTCTGGAGGTAAGCAGCAAAATTGAACAGTTGCTATAATGAATAAGTATTTAAAGACCACCATTATGTCCATTCTCCCAGTCTTGTCTTCTCCACCTAAATTCTTAAGACTTTCATATGTACCTAAAATTCTGTATCACTTGTCACTCTGGTCCCTGTATTGTGAGGATGATCCAGATTATCAATAATGACTCTCAATGAGTCATATGTAAATGCACGTGCTTCTAGGTGTAGTATGCCAGAGCAAGGAACACGATGACTGCTAAGTTTTCTATCTTACTATTATCATTCCAACTGCATATTGCTATTCCCAGACATAAGTGCATTGCTTAACGCTTATCAGAGAAGCTTCTTTTTGCAGTACATGACAATTAATACAGAGACCCAAACTGGACTATGTGCAGAGAGTGACAGACTTTGTAGTATCAGTGCTGGGATGTCTTCATCTAACCCCTCCCCTTAAGGCTCAGGGATTGTTGAAGAATATTATTTTAAGGTGTGTTACTTTTGTTTATGTTGCATTTGCTAAGCTCTGTGAGGCTGTGCCACTTTGCCTGTCTAAAATATCTGATGGTCTAATAAAGAGCTGAATGGCCAATAGTGAGGCAGGAGAAAGGATAGGTGGGGCAGGCAGGCAGAAAGAATTAACAGAAGAAGAAATCTGGGAGGGGAAGAATTAGCCAGAGAAGAAGGAGGACATCAGGGGTCAGTCACCCAGCTATACAGCAAGCCACGAAGTAAGAATAAAAGTAAGGTTATGGAAATAGAGAAAAGGCAAAAGGTAGAGGCAAAAGGTAGAGGGGATAATTTAAAATTAAGAAAATCTGGTAAGAAACAAGCCAAACTAGGGCCAGCCATTTATAATTAAGAATAAGCCTCCCTGTGTAATTTATTTGGGAGTTTGGAGGCAGGCCTCCCAAAAGAGCAAACAACCAATAAAAAGGGATCTACGTGGAAGTGGAGGCAGAAAGATTGTAAGGTCCTGAGAAGGTGAATGACTCCAAGAACACAGCATATTCTAGACATAACAGGTCAGATGCATGTATCAACTCAGAGACTGTGGCAGATCTGTGACCCCAGGTGGGGTTCCAGCATTCAGGGGGAAGTGAACACTGAATCCCACAACTGACCAAGAAGTCATTTGCAATTAATATCTGCAGGCAAAGCTTTCTTCAGTGGGGCGTCACTGGGTATATCAACTACACTCAAAGTTAGGCTTCATGCCCAGGAGTGATGGGCAACACAAAATGAACTCCATAGGTTTGTTTTTCTTTCTGGTGTGTGTGTGTGTGTGTGTGTGTGTGTGTGTGTGTGTGTGTGTGTGTGTGTGTGTGTGTGTGAGAGAGAGAGAGAGAGAGAGAGAGAGAGAGAGAGAGAGAGAGACAGACAGACAGACAGACAGACAGACACAGACAGGGAGAGAGAGAGAACATGAAGTTGAGTGGTTAGGGAGTTGAGGAGGAGCTGGGGAAGGGGAAAGGATGATCAAAATATATGAAAAACTAGGACCCCAAATCATAAAGTATTGACAACCACACTAAAAGGGGCATTCTCATTTCAGCTAACATAACCAAGAAAATCCCTCACAGACCCTCTCAGATGCTTGTCTCTGGTGATTCCAAATGCTGCAAAACTGAAAATCAGAATTAGCCACAACACATTATTATCCAGTAGGGGTAACAAAGGAAAAAAATCAATAAGGAACATTATTGGAAGAGTAATGGAGCAGTTCATATTAGAGCTTTCTGTGTGATTGTGTTATTCTGTCACTTAAAAATAAGTTTAGAGTTTGTATTATGTCTGCCCCAATATTTATAGATTATGACTCTGCTTACTCACAGGGCTTTGCTTCTCCATGAACTTTCGACATTCTCCTCATACACAGCAAGGTGGTTCTATCTTCATTGCCCTGGCGTCTCTTGTGAAAACATTGTACAGTGTCAGGATCTGTTTCTAAATGGCCTGTAAACTACACACAACCCTGCAGGTATGTTTCATAAATCTGTGCACATATGTATTTGTTTACCAAGCTACAACAGCAACCACTTTCTTTTTCCACAGCATGTCAAATTCATCAAAAGCTAGGCTTGTAGCCTTTGCCCAGATTTTCTATTTCCCTGAAATGTAATATCCTTCCTTTTTCCTCCAGTGATCAATGCTTGAAATCTCCAAAATATCTTTCATCTGTCATGTTTCTCCTAGTCCTATTGAAAATATTCAGTGTCACTCTAACTATTAGCACCAGCAATGTCATAGCCTCCTGAAAGCTTCTGACATGACATGTGCTTTGACCTTTATGGACAGTGTTCTTTGATCACATACTCTAGTTACAACTCTTTTAACTTTCACAGGAGCTGTCTCTATAGGAAATCTTCACCCAGGCTTTCTTTTTGGTTAAATTAATATTTAATTGTAGACGAAGTTCTAAAAGGTCTTACTAAATAAAAAACAAGGAGCCAAATATAGGTGTGAAAGCCTTAGATCAGGGAAATAGGGAAAGCCACCAGCCAACCTTACTTCACCAACTCTGCAGCTTCCAAATGCGAGTTACTTCCTGTCTACCCACGCCTTTATTGCCTTGCAGTTCTGCCCTCTCATTGGCTCTCTTAGCCCAGCTACCTAACTTTCAACACAGCTCTGTCACTTTCTGTCTGTCTGTGCAGACCTCCAGGTCTCTATGGTTGGTACTCGGATTAAAGGCATGTGTCACCACACTTGGCCCTGTTCCCTAGTGTGGCCTTGAACACACAGAGACCCTGCCTGCTAAGTGATAGGATTAAGGGCATATGCTACCATCGCCCAACTTCTTTGTTTACTTAAAATGGCTTGCTATTTCCTCTGATCTCCAGGCAAACTTTATTAA